TGCGTGCGTGCGTGCGTGCGTGCGTGCGTGCGTGTGTGTGTGCGCGCGCGTGTGTGTGTGTATGTGTGTGGGTGTGCGTGTGAGCGCGTGTGTGTGAGAGAGAGAAAGAAATTGTAATATATAATATAATTACTGGCTTACCGGTTATCTGTTGGGAACGAATAGCGTGAAGATATTCAACGGCCATTTCAAGGATATCCGCCTTTTCGACCTTCGAATAACACATTCCCTGTAAACCAAAACAATATTCTTAGTATTACTTATTTCCACAATGCGCATAATTATTGCATACTTGGTGTATATATTTGAAGTCACACAATTTGCACTAGCTATATACCTCTCACTGCCGAATACTTTTATAATCTCGAATGTAATATATCCACTATATATATATTTCGTACGCGTTCCCAGTGAGGTTGCAATTTCTTATTAAAAAAACTCCGCATTAGAATCCCGCAGTTGATCTACAGTTTATCTGTTATATTGATTGTGCAGACGGCGATGTGTACGGGGTAGCGTACGTGGCGCGAGTAGAGCTATAGTAGTAGTATAATAGGCGGTGTGTACGTACCTCTTTGCGCATGCCCTGCTGACGTAGCAGCTCCTTGAGATCGTCTAGACAGGAGTTGATGCGATCCCTTCTTTTCTTCTCAACGATCGGCTTAAATATCTGTCGGCAAAAAAGATACACTCTTTCGTTAACATTCAATATTAATTATAATTAAGATTATTATATTAATAATTCTTATTAGGTTATTGCGATGTGCTATATGTTACGTTGTTATGAAGTGCGCATTAAAATATTTCGTCTACCTTTTTGTTAGCATTTTATCTATTCATTATAGTGTACGAGAAAATTTAACGAGAAATAGATGTATTATATATATACTACTAATACTATAACTACTAACAATATTATCATGTTCATATTTACACTGTAAACTACTAATAGTTTTACTAACCTTTCTCCGCCGGTCTTTCGACAGTTTTGGCATATGCTCGGAGGCAAGATGGGCTGGCTTCGGATACATCTTTCAGCTTCTTCTTTTTTCTTCTTCTTCCTCTTCAGCGCAGGTGGTAGTGTCTGGCTAGTATAGTGGTTAGCGCGTGCGTGTCTATCCCGAGTATGTATAGTTATACCTCACCGTCTATATAAACGCCGTAATACACGATATAACGTTTACGTGTAGCGCGCTCTCTTTCTCTCTCTCTAACACGATTGTGTGAATGAACCGCTCTCTGGGTTTCTTTCTCTCTCTCTCTCTCTCTCTCTCTCTCTTTCTGTCTCTCTCTCGCTCTATCTGTCTCTCTCGTTCTCCCTATCTGTCTATCTATCTATCTGTCGCTCTGTCTGTCAGTCTATCTATGTATTCCTCTGCTGCACACACGGGAGGCAACGAGCCGAGCCGTGTGTGTAGTTATTTCGATGTGCCGGCATGCTGACCCGTGCTTCGGTATTTATAATCAGCGGGCGGCAGGTGCGTCGCGCGCTGCCTCCTCCATGTGAAGGATTTATCCTCGCAGTTCCCACGGGCCCCGAAGTTTGCCATCAATATACTCCGTACCCAGCGAGACGATCGGAGCACATTAGCATCGCACCAGCTGTGGGTACGGCGCTGGGAACCGGGATCCGTCATGACAGACTGAGGGTACTTTATACCGGCGGCTGGCAGCGAGTCACAAAAATAAACGCCTGCTCGTGTGGATAGCTGAGATCGCGCGTTCCCACGAAGGAGCGAGGCAGTGCCCGGCAGGCTTTGTTCGTGTGCATACAACCATTCGCCCGTCCGCCGCGCCGATTCTAATATATCAATTGAAGCTCCCCCTGCATGCTTATGCACCCTAGCGTGTCCTGTCAGTAAATAATGGGTCAGACCCGGGAGTCCTGATGAAGAGGGGACGTTTATTATGGGTGCGCGCGTAGGGGGGATGCGGTGGGCAGGCGTTAAACAATCTGTTGCTTGTTTTATTATGCTAATGCCTGCGTGCGTGCGTGCGTGTGTTGTAATGTCCCGTACATGTGTGCGTGGACACGTGCGTGTGTGTGAACGTGAGTACGTGAGCGCGTGGATGTGCCGTGCGTGTACACGCGCGCGTGGATGTGTCGTGCCTGTACACGCGCGCGTGCCTGTGTGTCTGTCTGTATGTGCGCGTGCGCGTGTGAATGCGTGTGCGTGAGTGCACATATAACACGCGTGTGCTCGCCTTCTAAAGTATCGTTCACGATATAGGGAAGTTCATAACATCGAAGAAAGTTCCTTGACACAGACCTCTGCGAATATTTTCCGACTAGACAGCACGCACGCGCGCCGTCTATAAGTAGGCTCATGGCTAGACAAGTCGCTCACAAAAGACCAGTCAGTCGTCTCTCACTAACATATCTCACTAAGCTGGCTTACCATATATGGCATGAGACGGAAAAGCCGGCAAAACTCGACGCTAATGACTTCTGCCTGCGACAATTTTGCGCGGTAATCCGCACCACGCATTGCACCCCTCCCCCCTTCGCCCCGCCATTACCCCCGCCATCCCGCGACGATGTATCGTCTGTCAAAAATAAAAGATAACGTCGCACGACACCCGATCGTTCGTCATTGTAGAGTAAAGGGCGGGAAACGAAGCAGGGAGCGAAGGGGGGAGATATATATATATATATATAGAGAGAGAGAGATAGAGAGAGAGAGAGAGAGAGAGAAGATGAGAGAGAGATGAGAAGAGAGAGAAGAGAGAGAGAGAAAGAGAGAGGAAAGAAACGAGAACGGGAGAAAGAGAGAATTAGGAAGAAGAAAAGGGAGAGAGAAGGAAAATAGAGAGGGGTGGCGAGATAGACGTTAGAGAGCCTGAACTGGGAAAGGTTGCGAGAGAGCGGGAGAAAGCAAAGGAGAGAGAGAGCGCAAGCGCGCGCAGGCCGGTCACGTGTGGCGCGGCGTCTGCTTGAGCGGTGGTGCAGTGCGGGAGACTGATCCACCATCGCGTGGCATGACTGTCGCTACTGCTGTTGCTGCTTGTTGCTGCTTGCTGTTGTTGCTTGTTACTGCTGCTGTTGCTGCTACTACTACTACTACTACTACTGTTGTTGCTGTTGTTTTTGCTGCTGCTGCTGTTGCTACTACTGTGCTACTGTTGTTGTTGTTGCTAACACTACACTACTACTACTACTACTACTACTACTACTACTACTACTACTAACTACTACTACTACTACTACTACTATACTACTACTACTATACTACTAACTACTGATCCTACTACTACTTGACTACTTACTACTACTACTACTACTAATCTACACTACTACTACTACTACTTACTACTACTACTACTACTACTACTAACTACTACTACTACTAACTACTACTTACTACTACTACTACTACTACTACTAACTACTACTGACTACTACTACTACTACTACTACTACTACACTACATACTACTACTACTACTACTACTACTACTACTACTACTACTACTACTACTACTACACTTACTACTACTACTACTACTACTACTACTACTACTACTACTACTATACTTACTACTACTACTGACTACTACTACTACTACTACTACTACTACTAAACTACTACACTACTTACTACTACCTACTACTACTACTTACTACCTACTACTACTACTACTACCTACTACTACTACTACTAACACTCTACTACTACTATACTACTCACTACTAACTACTACTACTACTACTATACTACTACTCACTACTACTACTACTACTACTAACTACTACTACTACTACTATACTTACTACTACTACATACTATACCTGACTACCTACTACTACTACTACTACTATCTACTACTACTACTACTACTACTACTACTACTACTACTACTACTACTACTACCTACTACATACTACTTACTACTACTACTACTACTACTTACTACTACTACTACACTACTACTACTACTACTACTACTACTACTACCTACTACTACTACTACTACTACTACACTAACTACTACTACTACTACTACTACTACTACTACTACTACACTACTACACTGACTACTACTACTACTACTACTACTACTACTAACTACTACTACTACTACTACTACTACTACTACACTAACTACTACTACTACTACTACTACTACTACTACTACTACTACTACTACTACTACTACTACTACTACTACTACTACTACTACTACTACTACTACTAACTACTACCTACGCTACACTAACTACTACTACTACACTACTCACTACTACTACTACTACTACTATACTACTACTACTACTACTACTACTACTACTACTACTACTACTACTACACACTACTACTACTACTACTACTACTACACTACTACTACACTACTTACTACTACTACTACTCCTCTACTACTACTACACTACTACTACTACTACTACTTACAACTACTACTACTACTACTACTACACTACTACTACTACTACTACTACTACTACTACTACTACTACACTACTACTACTACTACTAGCTACTACTACGACACCTTCTCTCGCTGCTGCTGCTGCTGCTGCTGCTGCTGCTGCTGCTGCTGCTACTGCTAACTGCTACTGCTACTGCTACTGCTACTGCTACTGCACTGCTACCGCTACTTCTGCTGCTGCTGTTGCCGTGCTGCTGGCTTTGCTGCTGTTGCTGCTGCTGCTGCTGTTTGCTGCTGCTGCTGCGGTTGCTGTTGCTGTTGCTCCTCCTTCTCCTCCCCACCTCCTTCTCCCCCTCTTCCCCCACCTCCTCCTGCTGCTGCTGCTGCGGGCCGCCGGTTCCCACGCTGAGACCGGCCGCACGCTAGCGCGACAGATGTTTACACTGCTAGATGCGGAGCATGCTCCCGCCCATGCTCCCGCGCATGCTCCCCCGGCGGGCGGGCGGGCCGGCGGGCGGATGATGGCGTTCACGACCAGCGCACGTGCGCACGCTCTGATTCGCGAAAAGGGCGTGAGTCACGGCGATGAGAGGGGGGGGGCAGCGGGGGTGGTTACGCTCGGGTACGGCGATGAGAGGGTGGGCAGCGGGGTGGTTACGCTCGGGTACGGCGATGAGAGGTGGGGCAGCGGGGGTGGTTACGCTCGGTACGCTTGTGAAGGGGAGGGCGCAGCGTGGGTGTTACGCTCGGGTACGCGATGAGGGTGGGGGCAGCGGGGTGGTTTACGCCGGTACGGCGATGAGGGTGGGGGCAGCGGGGTGGTTACGCCCGGGTATCGGCGATGAAAGGGTGGGGGCAGCGGGGGGGTTACGCTCGGTACGGCGATGAGGGTGGGGCAGCAAGGGGTGGTTACGCCTGGGTACGGCGATGAGGGGAGGGGGCAGCGTGGGTGGTTACGCCTGGGTACGGCGATGAGGTGAGGGGCAGCGGGGTTGACGTCCGGCCACGAGAGACGCAGTCAGCAGCGAGAGTATATTACGGCGATAGAGAAGAGAAGGGGAAAGGCACAAGGTCAGGTGTCCCTACGGCGATAGAGGGTAGGAGGAGACAGCGGTTGAGAGTGTACTACCAGCAGATAGAGGGAGGAGGAGGCAGCGTGAAGGTACTACAGCGATAGAGGGTAGGAGGAGGCAGCGGTGAAGGTGTACTACAGCGATAGAGGGAGGGAGGAGGCAGCGGTGAGGGTGTACTACAGCGATAGGAGGGAAGGAGGAGGCAGCGGTGAAGGTGTACCACGGCGATAGAGGAGGAGGAGGCAGGCGGTGAGGGTGTACTACGGCGATAGAGGGGAGAGAGGCAGCGGTGAAGGTTACTACAGCGAATAGAGGGAGGAGGAGGCAAGCGGTGAAGGTGTACTACAGCGATAGAGGGAGGAGGAGGCAGCGGTAAGGGTGTACTACAGGCGATAAGAGGTAGGAGGAAGGCAGCGGTGAGGGTGTACTACGCGATAGAGGGAGGAGGAGGCAGCGGTGAAGGTGTACTACAGCGATAGAGGGTAGGAGGAGGCCAGCGGTGAGGGTGTACTACAGCGATAGAGGGGGAGGAGGAGGAGGCGGCGGTGAAGGTGTAGCTACAGGCGATAGAGGGTAGGAGAGGCAGCGCTGGAAGGTGTACTACATGCGCGATAGAGGGAGGAGGAGGCAGCGGTGTAGGGTGTACTACAGCGATAGAGGGAGAGGAGGCAGCGGTGAGGGTGTACTACGGTGATAGAGGGAGGAGGAGGCAGCGGTGAGGGTGTACTCAGCGATAGAGGGAGGAGGAGGAGGCAGCGGTGAGGGTGACTACGGCGTATAGAGGGAGGAGGAGGCAGCGGTGAGGGTGTACTACAGCGATAGAGGGTACGGAGGAGGTCAGCGTGAAGGTGTACTACGCGCATAGAGGGGAGGAGGAGGCACGGTGAGGGTGTACTAGCTACAGCGATAGAGGGGAGGAGAGGGTCAGCGGTAAGGTGTACTACAGCGATAGAGGAGAGAGGAGGCAGCGGGAAAGGTGTGCTACGGGCGATAGAGGCGAGGAGGAGGCAGCCGGTGAA